CTGCTCTGGTTTGCAGTGTTCCTGGGGTGTAGGGGAAGGGATCCTCGGGAGAGAACTGGAAGCCAGGAGCTCTGAAGAGGGCAGCTATGAAAGTTTTCCCAAGTGTAGAATCCCTTTAATGTCTCTCCTAGCTTTTTCCTGGATTTGCTGTGTGCTGCAGTGTCTCAGTGGGAATGGAAGAGGAGGCCTTGGCCTGGAGCTACCTCTTAGATCTGTTGCAGGGGGAAGTTTGGGCTCTCTTTTTCTTTTTTTGGCTTGTAAAATTGTGCATTTGCTGGAGTTCTCCTTCCCCCTTCCTTCTGTGCTCCTTCTCTAAGCTGGAACAGGAGCATTTCCCCCTTATGCTGTATGGATGAAAGCTGGGGGCTGCCTTGGGTACCCCTCTTTCAACCCTGCCCCTCCAAACCCTGTGCTGCTTCCAAACACCTCACCTGCTGGCCCAGCAACAGCCTGCCAGGCCTCCTTGCCTCTCCATGCTGGCTGCCAGCCCTTCCCAGAGTGGGAGAGGACGAGGCACTTGCTCGGAGGGGTTTGCAATCTAGGTTAGGTAGGAAATGATTGCAGTGACATCAGGGAAGAGGGTGGGAGGCAGCCCTGCAGATGCTGAGTGGCTGAGGTTGCCTCTCCGTGCAAGGTACGTGCGCCTGATGCTGCTGCTGTGTTTGTAGCAAATAATGCTGGGCTGGCATGGGAATGTGGGTCACTGCTGGAGGAACTCCTCGAGGAAGAGGGAGCTGCTCGTGCTGTGCTTGGAGGAGAATGTATGTTACTGAGGGATGTTTGGTGGTGGGGGGGGAGATTTGGCTGCAGGAACTGCTCCAACTTGTACGTAGCAGCTCTGTGCTGTGTGAGCGGGTGCCCGGGGGGTGGCTCTGGCCTCAGGGTTGGGGTGAAATGGTGCTTGAGGAGGGAGGGCTGGGGTGCAGTGGGTTGTGTTCCTGGTGTGCAGCTGTCGTACCATGTCAGGGAAGTCTTAGGTTTGCTTGCTGATGCTTTCTGTGGCCCTGGCCATGCCTGGAGCATCCTTGCTGCCCCAGCAGGCACACGGGGGTGCAGCTGGGCATGGATAACCAGGGATTCCAGCGTATTTTCGTGACCTATTTCTGATGCTGTTGCTCAGTGTGTGTGTGTGCTCGGGAAATCTTTGTGCTTTGGGGGGGTAGGGCTTGTTAATGATAAGGAAAAGCCCGTTGGACTGTTCAGGAGATTTAAAGCAGAAGCTAATCTGGCTTTGAAGGTGAGCATGGGAAGGTGGCTCTGAGCCTGATATGGGACGGGGAGAGACTTACCCTAAAAATGTGCCTGGTACTTCAGTGCAGAAAGAGACTCTTGCCTCAGAGCAGGTACATTTAGTGAAATAGCTTTGTTGGAAAATGCTGTCCTTGGTCAGCAAGGACTTGTTGAGTAGCTTCACTTCCAGCAAAGACACACTGGAGTAGAATGGGGCTTGTGGAGGGAAGCATGGAGGGGCTGCCAGGCTCTGGCTCTGGAAGAGCTGAGCAGCCTTTGCTCAGCAGCAATGATCCTGCCTACTTGTGGGGACCTTGCTAAAACAACCTTGTCTAAGCCCATGTCAAGAACTCGTCCTGCTTCCTGAGCTGCCACCAGGGACCTCCAAGCCAGGTGGATATGTTTCTGTGGCTTGTCTGTGTGCTTCCCAAGATGCCCACAGGTTTGGAGCAGGAGCAAGAAGTTAAACAGCATGGGCTTGGTTGGGTAGCTCTGGGGAGTGGGAGCCCTCATTCCTCATTTACTGCTGCCACTTGCAGCTTGGGACTTCTTCCATAGATGCCTGTGTGCCCTGGTCATCCTCTGTGCTCATCTCCCTGGTACTGAATCTTGTGTGAGTGTTGGCTGTTCTGAGACAGCAGGGCTGATGTCCTTCTGTGACCATGCTGTCTGGCCAGCCAGTCTAGCAGCCTGTGGGACAAACACAGCCCTGAGGCAGGCATTGGATGACCTTCAGCAGACCTTGGTGAGCCAGGGAGGGTCAGACTGTCAGGGAAATAAGGGCTATGCCCAGTGGGAGGAGATGGGGGTTGATCCATCTTGGTGCTGCCTGCATGCTGCCCTTGCTGGTGGGTGCCTGTTGGGACAAGCTCTCCTACCTGCTGTAGAGCAAAGTGTTGGACAAGGTCAGGGTCTCAGACCAACCTGGTGTTCTCAGGTCACTCACTGAGTTGTTTGTGTTTCTTTAAATTCCTGCTTTCTCCTTCCTGTCTCTTCAGAAACTCTAAAACCACAGCCTGGTTATTGGTTCCTCATCAGACCACAAAGTCATAGAATGCCAGGCTGGGAGGGATCTCAAGGATCATCTTGTATAACCTTTCTAAGCAGGAACACAGTTTAGAAGAGACAACACTCTATCTTGTCAAGCTAAGTCTTAAATGTATCTACTGTTGGGGAATCTACTACCACTTCCTCCCTTGGGAGATGATTCCAAAGTTTTGGGCCTGGTTTGGTGGCTCTCTGGAGTGTGCAGGTGCTGATTCTAAGACCTGTGTAGGAAGGGCTCTGCAAATGAGCTTGTGTTTACTTCAAACTTTGATGTTGTCCTACAAACCCCTTGCCCAGGGAGATGGGCTCTAGCTGCCAAGTTCTTGGTCTGTAGAAGATGTATTCCAGGATGATAATTTGCTCATGTCTACAACAGGCACTATGTTCTTGTGAGTGTTTTGACTCTTTCTCGTTCCCTCCAATAGCAAAACTGGGACTAGTAAAAACTGGTCTTGGAATATTTTTATCTACAGCTAAGCTAAACAAAGGACTCCTCTGTCAGGTTGCACTTCTCAGGCTTTTCTCTTGCTCAGCCTGTGCCAGGAGGAGCAGGCTCAGAACTTTCTTCTTCTGCAAAGGGAGAGGTGATGATGATGGGTGGTGGCAACTGCCTGCACAGCTGAGCAGCAGGGATGCTCCGTGGTGGGAATCCCAGCTCCTGGCTGCACGTCCCTGCTGCAATGTGTGTGTGCTGGCTCACCTCCTGCAGGGCCCTGAAAGCTTTCATTCATCTCCTTCGTTACGTGCCGGGGCCTGAATGAAAGGGGCAGTGGATGTGCCAAGTGCATGACGTATCCCAGCACAGCATAATCCTTGTGAGCACTCTCCTTGTCCCTCCTGGGGATCCAGGGGTGGCTCAGAGAGGCTGGATGGTAGAGCTTCAGCCTGAGTCCCCTCTGCAGTGGGGTGGGGTGTCTGTCCTGTGGTGCCCACCCCAGTCCTGTGAGCTATTGAGGGCTCCTTGCTGGGGTGGGAGAGGAGCTGTCCTGGTTCCTATAATTTCCTGGTTATTTTGGTATGTGGGTGGGAGGGGGAGGAGGGCTGCTGTGGAGAGAAGAGCAAGGTCAGTGAAGAACAAATGTGCCTCTGTGCCCTTGTGATCGCGCCGCCAGCTGATCGGCCCCCTGCTCCAACTTCCCCTCACAGAGCTCATCAAGCACGGCCGGGAGAGGATAGAACAAACCATCAAGGCCTCCGGCTCCAGGCTCTGCTCGTAGTGAGTATGAAAGCCTCCCCGTGGGAGTGGGAGCCCTTTAAAAGCTCAGCCTGATAATCCCTGCCCTGGCTGAGCGGTGAATGGAGCTGGCTGGCACCGGCCAGATGTGGGCAGTCCCTGGGGACAGCTGCCAGCACCCGCTGCCACCAGCATCTCCTGCCATGCTCGGCCTGGCTGCAGAGCAGGGGGGCTCTGGGATGGCCCTGGTGATACCTGGGGGTGGAAAGGGGGAGCACCCACAGGTGAGATTTGGGGGAGGCTGGTGGGATCTTTGGGCGGTCTTTCTGGAAAGGGTTTGGGCGGTATGGGAGCTTTCAGGGTCTCCCTGTGATGTAGAAGAGTTTGGTGGAGAGGGGGAATGGGCAAAGCCCTCTGGGCACAGAGCTTTTCTCCTTTATTTTTGCTGTCATCTTTTTAATACTGGCTTTTGCAAGGAGTGTGGGGAAACCCTTAAAACTCAAGGGAGAAATCCCTGAGGTTCATCAATCACTCCCCAGTGATGCTTGAGCAGGATGGTTCTGGACCAACAGGTGTTGTTCAAGTACAGCTTCTCCACTGGGTAGACAAGACCCCTATGCTTTATTTAATACCTCTGCTTACTGACCCTGCCCTGGCTGCCATGACCAGCCCCCCTTCCCTGCAATTCCCACCACTCAAAACTGCTCTGGTCTGTGCCAGCCTGAAAGAACAGCCTCCAGCTACTGCCAGCCTGGATGGCAAGTGGTGGTTGGACCCAGCTGGACCCTCCTGGTTGCCCTGCAGGGACACTCCTTGAGTTTCCAGGCTGGGTGTTGAGGCATCCTGGTGTGGTGGGGTCTGGTCACAGATGCTGGGTGACTGCTGGGGCTGTGCTGGTCTTCAGGTGGCAAGACCCTGAGCAGTTGCTGCCATCACAAATCAAGGGCTAATTGTGACACTTAATGTGCTTGTGTCTGAGTCACTTGTGCACCCAGTAAGCTTCCCCCATCTCCTGTCAGCATGGATCCATTGTCCCCTGCCTCCCATCCCCTGGGAATAGCAGTGCTACCAAGGGGGCAGCTGGGGAGCTCAGCTGAGGCCCCCTGTGACAGAGGAGTCACATACTGGGCTCTGCACTGGTCACTGGCAGGTTAATGGTGTCAGGCTGCTTCTCTTGGATTTTGTTTTCAATGCTGGGTTCTTCTTTTCCCAAGTGCTGAACGAGTTGCCCTCTTAATGGATCGTTCTCGGAGCCCGGACAAAAGCACCCAGGTGAGATCATGGCTCTGGGACAGCAGGTCTGCAGCTTTGGGGCAGGAAGGGCTGGTGCCTGTAGGAGAAAGGCAAAGAGGAGAGCCTGTGTCAGCCCCTGGGAGCCTGACTCCTGCCTTGTCCCTCTGAGTGAGGCTGGGTGGGGAAAAACAGAGGCACCATGTAGCCTTTTGAACAGGGCATAATGCTTCCAGAATCTGTGGAGGGGAAGATTCCTAGGGAGATGGTGTCAATATATGTACCCCTGGGACATTGGGGAAGAGGGCTGAGCACCTCTGTGGTGCTGGGTGTGCGTAATGGTCCTTCCAAGGCTCCAGACTTGGCATCTTTGGAGGTTGATGGGAGTGGGCAGAGGGCTTCAGGGTCTGGGAGAGGGGATGCTGATGTCCTGCTGCAGGAGCACTCCTGTCTCAGAGCTGTGCCCAGCTCTTGCCTAGCAGATGTGATGGGAAGTGTCTTGTCTCAGTGCTGCAGTGGGAAACTGAGCCATGCAGTGCCTTTCTTCTGTGGCAGCACAGTAGGTCTTGAATGCCTCAGCTCAGGAGACAAACAGTTCCTTGGTACTCCTTGTGTGAATATGGGATGAGGTTCTAGCTTAGAACAGCCTCTAGCTGTACTATTGCTCTGTTTTCCCTTTCCTCACCACTGTTTTCCAAGTCAGCCACAGTGTCTTTTCCTGATAGGTGCTTCTCAAGGGGATACTGTTCTGAGGAAGAGAGAGCACAACATACAGTGAGGTCCTAGTGACTAATGTTATTGTTCTCCTCCCTAGCCTCCAACACCAACTGACAACATCAACCTTGGACCTTCTGCTAACCCAAAGTAAGCTCCCTGCAAAAGCCAGGTAGGGTGTGGAGCAAGCAGTGGAGATCTGCCAGGGGAATGCAGTTTGTTCCTGTCTTGCATGGGTGGTGTCTGCAGAAGTCCTAACAATTACACATGTATCACCAGTGTACCAGCTTTCAAGACATTCAGCTGTAGCAGGGCCCTGTGATCACAATCATATTCTTTGCTGTCAATGTCTGCAGCCCCTGTCCCACCTCTCTTGAGAGGTAGTGAGGGGAGATCCTCCTCATAACTGCTGACTACCTTTCTCTCTAGAAATGGGGATAAACTGGTCCGTAGCACCCCTGTAAAAGTGCTACTTGGTCATAAGCTTTCACCTGCTCAGCAGGTGGGTTGCTGAAGGATTGCTTATCTTCTGCTGGGTGCACCCACCCGGGGTGTGCATCCCCTGCTTGCTGACAGCTGGGTGCGAGGGTCGCCCGTCCAGTGCCCTTTCATCCCTTGCACAAACACTCGTGCTTCCAAAAGGAACTCTGCTTTGGTGGCAGTGTTGCTGTTGTTTGTTTCTCTCCTAGAAACATTAACTTGTTTTATTCTTGCCCAACAGTGCCAAGCCAACAGACTTTGACTTCCTGAAGGTTATTGGCAAAGGAAGCTTTGGAAAAGTAAGTGGATTTGTTCAGGTGGGCTGTGGCTCTTTAGAGGCAGCTTGGAAAGAGACTTCCCTGCTGAAGGAGTTTCTAGCTTTGTCCTTTGCTTGCACCTCTCCTCAGGAGCTTGGCCTGAGTGGGAATGAGGCCAGATGAGAACTGAGACAGGGTTTTCATAGTTCATTCTTAATTTGTGCTGTCCTGCAGCCTCTCCAAGGACAGAACTGTGAGGTGTTTCTTGCTCAGGGTGGTGATGGTGAAGAGCAGTGCTTGATTGAAAACAAGCCCCAGACTTGTCCAGCTAGCAAAAGATCTCTAGACAAATCTGTACTTCATGGAATAGCAAGGATCCATTTAAAAAGGCACTATCCCCAAGTGCTCCAGAATTATTTTCTACTGGGTGTGCAAGAGATGTATGTGGAGACCTCATGTGTCTTTTCCTGGCCATGAGACAATGCTGCAAAGTCAGTGGGCTGGAGCTTCATCTTTAAAACTTTGTACCTGACCCTCTGAAGCTGCACTCTGTGTATCATCACTCAAGAGTGTTGAGCTAATGAGGAAACACTAACCAAGTGGCAGAGGTGAGCCTGAAACCTGTGACCAGGGCCTTCTGTTGCAGGTTCTCCTGGCCAAACGCAAGTGTGATGGGACTTTTTATGCTGTGAAAGTCTTGCATAAGAAAACCATCTTAAAGAAAAAAGAGGTATGTCTGCTCTCCCTGGCTGCTTCTGCCAACAGTGGTCAGTGTATGAGCAACTGTGGTAATGTAACTGAGGTGTCTTGTGGCTGAGTGAGCATTGGTGTAGAGAAGTCACATGTTTGACATTGATTTTCTGGTGCCATGGGAAAGTGGGGAAGAACTGAGATTAATCAGATTAGAGAGAGTGGTTCCCTTTCTGGGGCTGGAGATGACCTCTTATGAGTCACAGCTCCTGCTTGTTTTCAAAACAGCAGTGAGCCTGTGTCAGACAGGACTGGTTCCCTCCCTGAAAGTCTAACTCCTTGCCTGCTTCTTGACAGCAAAACCACATCATGGCAGAGCGCAACGTGCTCCTGAAAAATGTCAAGCACCCCTTCCTGGTGGGACTCCATTACTCCTTCCAGACCTCAGAGAAGCTTTACTTTGTGCTTGACTATGTAAATGGGGGAGAGGTGAGTGCACATACAGGCTTTATTTGAATCCTTTGTGTGGTCCTTCCCTAACATGCTGTGTTATTGCCTAAAACTCTTCTGGTCAGGAGATAATGGTGTTGAAGGATAATGATGCCTTGACTTGCTGGCAAGGACCAGCTAGGAGTAGCTGGTGAGATCTTTAACAGGTAAATTGAGTGAAGGTCATGGTGGGTATGACCTATGCCAGCTGACTCCCAAGGCAAAGACACAGGAAAATGTGCTAGGGGCATTTTAAAATCCTATAGGGAACATGGGAAATGCTGCTGAACTTTAGCCAAAACCCACTTGTGGGCCAGCACTGGATTCCAGTCTGGGTAATTCCATTGCAGACTTCTTTTATTGTCCTGGAGAAACTCCTCTTTCTACAGTGGTCTTTTCCTGTGCTACCAAAAACTGGCTGAGAGAAACTGTTAACATGGATGTCTTGTCCAAGTCTAATTTATAGGAGATGTCAGCAGGTTCAGCTCTGTCCAGGTACCTCTCTTTATTGCCATACTACTGCTATAATTGGCTTGTGGGCTGTGGAAAGCTTAACCTAGAGCAGCAGATGACCAGTTATTTGACAATAAACCAAGTGAGATGGTGATATAAAAGGAAGACAAATCAAGCAATTTCTGGAAAAGTGTTTAGATTGCTTAAAGTAACTTGGTTTAGGCTTATTTGGTGCTGCTCATGTCTCTGAAAATTGGTTTTAACTAAAGCAGCTGGATTTCAGGCTTGTTCCAGATAACCTCCAGCTATTTAGAGAAGAAATGATCAGCCTTATGATCTGTTTCTAGCTCTTCTTCCACTTGCAAAGGGAACGTTGCTTCCGTGAGCCCCGGGCCCGGTTCTATGCTGCAGAAGTTGCTAGTGCCATTGGGTACCTGCATTCCTTAAACATCATCTACAGGTAAGGCACAAGTCCTGCCCAGCCAGGATAGGTGCAGAGCTGGGGAGAGGGCAAAAAAAGTCTCCTGGGGCCATGCAAAATGCAGGACTGGAGTAGCTGAAGACTCTCCTACCCCAGATAGGGAGCTGCTGCCATTGTACCCTGCAGGAGGGGTACTGCAGAGGACCTTGTGGGCAATAAATGGAAGGAGAATGGTTGAGTGGAAAGATCTAAAATAAACCTGGCCCAAAAAGGAAACTGCCTCTTGGTCCCAATTTACCCACAGATGCAGGGACATGCAGGCTAATACATGATCCTGTATGACAGCAGCCTTTCCATGCTTGCATCCCTGGTATGTTGATACCCAACAGGGATAGGAATTGCACTTTGGGAAGATCTTGGTGAGCTGGGTTGGGAAGTTTTGTTAGGGGCTGTTCTTAGTTGATGCTGTTTCAGTACAGTATTCTTTTAACTATCTGGCCAAATCTGCTCAAGCTGTACTTTTTGTCTTGCAGGGACTTAAAACCTGAGAACATCCTCCTGGATTGTCAGGTATGTTCACAGCTCATGCTGCCTTCCTCCTGGCTTGAAAAGCATCAGGACTGTAAACAGAGGACTATTGTTCTGCAAGCTGGGCTGTACCTCAGCTCTGGCATGGATTTCTGCCTGTGTGCACCACTCTGCTTTGGTGCAGATCCTATGAGAGGGAGTGAGCCTGTCCTCTGCAGGGCTGAACACTTGGGGCCCTCCCAGCTCTTTCCCAAAAGCTGGGACCTGACTTGAGGGTGGGGATCAGGGATGTTAAGAACAAGTCACTGCTGCTGCTCTGGTGGTGACTTCTATATAACTGGCTCTGGGATAAATCAGACAGAGCACAGCAGGGCTGGATCTCTTCAAAGCTATGCAGTTGTAAACAAATTTTTAAAAATGACCTGGGCTCTACTTTCTCTATAGGCTCCTGCACTTGTACTCTAGGATGTCCAGAAGGTGAGGGAGGGGAAGCAGATCAGCAGTGGGGAGCTAAAACATATGTGAGATGTCATGTGAAGGCTAATGTTTTGAAATCCTGTCTCCTCTCTAGAAAGTGTGGGCCAAACTGAAATGTCCCTCTTCTTTTAGGGGCACATAGTACTGACAGACTTTGGACTCTGCAAAGAAGGAATGGAGCAAGAGGAGACAACTTCTACTTTTTGTGGCACCCCCGAGGTATGGCATGTGTAGGTGTTTCACTGTGACCTGGGGTCTGAAAACCTGCAGAGACTTGTTGCTCTGGGTCTGACTTGCGTGGGTGCTCAGCAACCCAAAATATGGGCTCTGAATTAGACCTTCTTGAGTGATGTGGGGTTGTCAGCCTGGAGCTGGGGTTCAGATAAGGCCTTGCTTACTCTGTAGAGACAGTCTTACCTATAACAGCTGATTAATGCTCCAAATTTGCTGTGCTACATGGGACAGAGATCCCTGCACTTGGAAATGGTCAGTCTGGTGACACTGGGGCTGCTCCAAGTGGCTGTTGAGACAACCTTGACCCTGGGAGCCCATGAGCCAGCCTGGGAGCAGGCTGTTTGCTTGCTCTGATTACCCTGGAGCTGCAGAACAGGGAGCCTGCTGGTACTAACACACACAGGACCTTGCTGTGCTCTTCTATGTGTCCTTGGTATTCAGGAGCTCCAAAACATCCTGCACAGAGGAGAAGACCAGGCTCTCCTCAGGAGAGTGTGAACACTGCTCAGAGGGGAGGGAATGCCTGTTCTCCAGTGCACCTCAAATAGGTTTTGCTAAAATCTATTTCCACTTTGGCTTCTTGGAGGCTTTTTCCTTGCTGCTTACTGAACTAGGAATTTTAGTAGCCCTTTGCAATACACCTGTCTTGCTGCCCTTCTTCAGGTAGCTTGAGGAAGGGTGTGTAAACAAGACAGTTTTCAGTATTAAAGCTCAGCAGAAGTGGGCAGGGATTTCCTGGTGGCAGCCCTTGGCTTTCAGCAGGGACCCACTTGTGCAATAGTACAGCATGAACCAAGCAGG